CTGATAGAATCTGTTGAGAAGAGATAGACAGAGATTATCCGGAGTTTGATGTTGCTTTTGAAGAATAAGTCTAATGCAATAGCTTTACCAGAATGTGTTAAACAGCTATGGATATGGGGCTTAAAATAGTTGTGAACCATAATAGCCGTTCCCTCCAAAGAGCTGCCCGAGTTGGCCCAGTAGTAGGTAAAAAGGTCATTATTGCAAAAAGAGAGTTTAGTTTTGTTTGAAATCTTGGTTTCAGTAATACTGACAATAGAGATATTGTGGTTAATACAATAGTTTTGCCAGATTTGCCTCTTGGAGGCGATATTAAAGCCTCTGACATTGTGAGTAGCAATAGTGAGGTGTAGATCACGAGAGCAGGGCTGTGTAGGTTGGATAAATGAGCTACTAGAAGAACAAGTAGATCTTATAGGAGATTTGTAATAGACAAAGTACTGTTGAGGAGAAAGTGTAATGTGGCCTTGTAGGATAGTATCAGTAATATCAAGATAGACATGGGTTTTAAGAGTTATTATGTTAACAGAAATTTTGTATAGTTGGAAAAAGGAGTTTTTAAGGAGATGTTGTAAAAATGATTTGAGAGTTTGAGGTGATGAGAAAGAGGAAGATTATATTTGTAAAGGAATTTATTAAAGCATATCTCCTCAATAGGGTGTGGTGAATTGGTGATTGAGGAGGAAGAGATGTTTTCTACAAAAGCGCTCGCCGTATGCCTGGTTTTCATAGCTGTGCAAGAAGCCAAAGTCTGCTCTGTACATTGAGTCTGACCGTTATTTATTGACTTTTCCATGTTAAATAGTTTATATATTTAATATCCTAGTCTTAGTATTTGATATAATATGAGTATATATTAATTATTTAAATATTAAATAAAGTCCAAATGCATATATTATATCTTTTATATTTAATTTGTAGTTCACAGTTAAAGTGTACAAATTTTATAGTAAAAATTGGCAGACATGTGACTAATTACTTTATATAGTAAGTGGAATACTATATGCTTCCATTCTTATAAAAAACCCTATAGTAAACAATTTTAAAATACTTATAACTTAATATTTATTAACTTGATTTTTATGATTTTACTATTATTAGAATCAGAAAAATTAGCTTTACAACTTTTGTTAAAGCAAAAAAAAAATTTACTTAATAAAAAAAAAACTTTTATATATAAGCAAGCCACATTTTTGTACTATAGAAAAAACATAAATTTTCGATTTTGTTTATTATAAAATATCAATCATTTTGTACCCTTTAACTGTGATCTACCAACTAGGAAATGCATAGCATTATGAGTTCAGAGTGTATTATATAATTGTAAATTTGATGGTATATTTATATATATATTTGTCGATCTGTGGATTATGATTGGTTACATATCACATGTGCGAATGAACAAACGAATATTTTTATCACTTTGCGTAGAAATATAAAATCCTCCACTATGCTCTAAACTAATTAATAGTTAGATTTTTTATATTACAATATATAGATTTTTAAATATAATAAAAATTTGTAATTAAAAAAATTTTTTAACGAAATTTTGTCTAATTATTAACTACTATATATTGTTATATTAATACACAAAGGTCTTATAAAGTCTCAAAAATCCTCAAAAATTTCTAAACTACATAGCTTTAAAATAACTTTTGCAAAAAAATTTTAAAGATTTTTTTAAAACTTTTTTTTTTTTTAAATTAAAAAGCAAATCAATTTCTATATATACAGGAACCAGAAACCAGTACAAGTCCGGTGCTCAAAATTTTATATTTGATTGATAACCTCATCCCCTGAAGAATCCAGTCATGTATGCCGCAGATCAAACTTTTCAGGGGTGTTACAGACGGAAAATACCAAAACTACGTTTTTGATATTTTTAATAAAATAAATCAAAAACGTAATTTTGGTCATCGCTTAACGTAGAATCCGCTTCGCTCCGGACAATTAAAATTTTATTCTAATACACTATTATTAAGTAAAACCATGGCGTAAAAAATTTGATAATCCCATTATTACTGCCAAGTTCTATTGTAAGTTCAATAACAAATTCAAAAGAAAAAAAAAATAACTTGCATATGCAATGAGTAAGTCTTTCTATTTCTATTGTTAAGATCAACGTTATGACGTTATGGATTAATCACGGGTCATAAACAACCTTTGGTTATTGGGTAAGAGTTAAAGCAACGTTATGAATTAATCACGGGTCATACATAACTTAGTACTCCCATTATAACTAAGCATTGTTATGAGAAATCGGCGTCGGGATTCCTTTAAAAACCCTACGTATCAGGAACAGTACGTAAATCGATTCTTTTTTTTTACTTTATCAGGAACAGTACCGACGATCTCCATCAGGAATGGTATTTTTGCCGTTTTGCAAAAAATTAAAAAAAAAAATTGTGTCGGGTGTTACTTTTTCCGGTGACATTAGCGAACTTTTTTTTGCATCGAAATAGTTCGGATAGAAGTTCCGATTAGAGTCTCTTCTTCTGCATAATCTTCCGGAATCACCGAAGCTAAAAAAATTATATATCAGATTAACTGTGATGCCATTCTGCACACATCATTACAATCACCTATCACATATACTGTACATCAAGACTAGTTAAAGTTTCTCCCTTTTTAGAATATAAAAAGTTTTTTCAAAGTTTATCCTATTTTATGGATATTTGTTTACAATGAATGATGTAAGCACGTTTTCAACTGCAATAAGTACCATATAGTTGTGAATGAACCCGCAGTTTTGAAAAGCCTCATCGTTGGTATTCACTTCGGCTTCTACTGTTCACAGCAAGAAAATAATGTACCCCTCCCCATTATGAGTAGTGAGGAATCGTCGTTCACGTCCTTCTCCCTAACACCACCTGTTAACAGTAACTCTTCTACAGCAAAAACGTCGTCCACTACGGCCCATCACTTGAGATCCTCTTCTCAAACGAGCTTAACTACTATCGTAAAAGCTCAAATTTCCTTTCTATTATCTACCCTTTCGGCTGATAATTACGCTCGCAACGTAGCTGAGATCAATTCCGTAAGTGTTATACACGTTGATCACTAGGTTTATTTGCAAATCTATCATCTGTTGCCAGCAAAATGTTCAGAGAGCAGACCATATAGATTTATGAATCTTATCGTTAAAAAAAATTTAAAACTTATACTTGTAACTTTCGCACTCATTTTTCGTTATTTAAAGCGACTAACATTCTTCTGCCATTGAAAACTTACCAATCAATAGCTTTTAGACCAGCACGGTCAGGATACACATTTCCATTTACTGCGACGACTTTTAATTGCCAATCAAAACAAAATTTGCAGTATTCGAACCCGCAACTCGGATCTATCTTTGAGCTATCGTCTTTTAGTTGAGAAAGTCAAAGCAGCCGCGAGCGATCCAGCACTATCTGCAGTTTTTTGCGAAGCATTCAATTCTATAGATCACAGTGACTCATTTAAGGATCTTGACCTTAATAGCTTTTTAGAGCACGTTGGACTTAATCCGGTAGAAAAAGTCGGACTTTGCATATCTTTGCTGTCGGCTATTAGAAAGGAAATTGCTGAACAAGGTAAGTGAACGATCGTATTCATGTTTTCAATCTCTGAAACTAAAATTGTAATTCTCCATATAAATATATTCCTTGAAAATATTTGATTAGCACGCGAAATAATTAGCCAAAATTTTGGTCCACTCGTGAAAGCCTTGGGAGACCAATCGGTCCAAGAAAGCCTCTCAAACGAATTAAGACAACATTTACTTACTTATTGCGAGGCAGAGTCTCGAAATCTCACATCGCAGCAAAGTGAAATTGATTCCAGTCCCATAAAATCACAATTTAGTTCTCAACTCCCTGTGCCTACTGGTCTTATCCCTCTCCTAAGTTCGAATCAGCAAAGTGTTGTTTCGTGAGTAAATTATCTTTAAGATTTATTACCTCTTATTATTTCTAAATTTTAGATATCTATTTTAGTGATAATTTTCGAACCAGCATGGAACAAAACGAATCGTCTCGATTGCCCTTGGTTAAAGTTATGTCAGATTCGGGCTATAATTGTTGCTCTTCTGTAACTGCATTTCGTAGTGTTTTGAGTAAATTAGATGTAGCATCGGCAGAATCCGGTGAAATTATCACGGAAGATGATGTTGCTCAAGCTCTTGGTATGATAGTAAATAGTCATACCAGTTCTGAAGATGGAGTTGCCAATTGGAATCAAACACCTGACCATGATAGTAAACAGTCTTGGAACATAGAAGTTTTTGTGACAACTTTAGTAGAAGTGGTGCGTATTTTTTTGTAGATTTTTTTTTTTTAAAAAAAGATGATATTTATTTTCTGAATATAAATTAATACATATGTATTGTTAGCAACCACACTTGGATTGGGTTAAAGTAATAGAAAAACTTGATTATTCAGAATTTGTTGTTAACGATACAAAGGGTTTAGAAATAATCTTGATTGCCTATAAAAAAGCAACAAAGGTAGTTTCTATTTTCATTAAATTCACAAATTCGATTTAGCTTACCATCGACTTCTTATTAATGTCATTTCAGGATCGGTCGCAATTTCCACTTCATGTTTTTTGGGGCCATTGGAATAATATTAAAGGACAATTTAGTTTTTTGAATCGAATCGTGCATGCCCCCCTGGAAACATTTAATCTTAATGATTATCCAGTACAAAAAGTTTTGTCATTGGAGGATTTTGCGAACTCAAATGCTAATCTCAAATCAATGGCTGGTTTATTAACATCAAATCCTTGGAATTCTGTGGAGCTGATTGAAACGCTAATAAAGATGGCTGATACGGAGTTACACGAAGATATTAAATTGTTATTTGAAAAGTTTACAAAGCAGACACCTGAAGTTGTATGTTTGGGTCTCGCTCAAGTTCAGGTATATATATCTTATGTAATATTTTTATCTGATAATAGAGCACAAATGATATTTATACTTGTTTTATTTTATAGAAACCTTGGAATGCACTACATCAAGAGATTCTAAACCGATTGGTTTCAGTATTCTTAGCAGGTCATTCAAGTTCAACGCCAGTTCTAACACGTTTATGGCAAGTCAACAGTAGTCTTTTTACAGAAGGCTGTCTTGAAATGCATAAAAAGGATGCTATGAGTGTTTCTAGAATACTGGACATTGCACAAGATCTAAAGGTATAAACTGCAAATATCTTTTTCGTGATTTTAAACAGTTATTAAAATTTTGATGATAACTTTGCTTTGTTGACTTTTATCGATAGATTTTAAATCAACTTCTGGCTATACAGCCGTTTTTCTTCTCTATCGACTTGGCAGCACTTGCTTCTCGTCGAGAGTACCTCAACTTAGAAAAATGGCTTCAAGATAATATTGTAGAATATGGTGATTCATTTATTCATGACTGTTTGGAATTTTTGAACCAAAAGCTTGCTCTGGAAATATCACGTGAAACTAATGGAAGCATTCAGTCGGTCAGACTTTCTAATGATGTGATTGCCATATTTTTACGAATACTTCTAAATAGGTTAGTATTTATTAATCTATTATGAATTTTGTATTATATTTCGTTTATTTATTTATTTATTAATTGTTGAATCTTCTATGTAGCACTATGTCTGGGGAAAATGCTGAATTGTTTAAAGAGGTTCATAGAATTGCCTTACAAGTGTATCCACGTCTCACTACTGGAACTTCCTCTGAAAACAGTGTTCCTGAGCCATCATTTTCAGCTGACGTTGAAGAGGAGGCAAACTCATATTATGAACGAGTTTATCGTCAGGAGATTGGTATTGAAGATATGATTAAACTTCTTCAAAAATTTAAGAATTCTCAAGAGCAACGAGAGAATGAAATTTTCTCTTGCATGGTGCATAATTTATTTGACGAATATCAATTCTTTCCAAAATATCCACAGAGGGAGCTAACTATTACCAGTGTTATATTTGGTTCGCTAATTCAATATCAGCTTGTGGGGTATATGGCACTTGGCATAGCTCTCCGTTATGTTTTAAATGCACTTAGAAATCCTTCTGACTCAAAAATGTTCAACTTTGGAGTTCAGGCTCTGTCACAATTTCAATCTCGTCTTCCAGAATGGCCACAGTATTGTTCGCATCTTTTGCAAATTCCACAATTACAGCAATCTCATCCGGATATAATTCAATATGTGAGATCTGCCCTAGCTTCAAATACCAATTCAACCACTGTAACGACACCTACATCAGCTAGTACTCTTGGAATTGGTAATGGTGAACAATCTTCGTCTCAATCTACTAATACTAATATGAATAATGAACTACTGTCATCGATTAAACCTGCCTCTGATACTTCAAATAAAGTTTTTGATAAACCTGCATTTACGGCATTGAATTTAGATACATTGCTAGCAGCAGACAAAGACGATTATGAGATTCCAAGTGAGGCTATTCAAGACAAGATCCTCTTCATTATAAATAATGTTGCTCAAAGTAATTTGGATACTAAGGTGGCCGAAATGAAAGATCTCCTCAAGGAATCACATTACCGTTGGTTCGCCAATTATCTTGTTGTAAAAAGGGCCAGCATTGAACCAAATTATCATCAATTATATCTTCAATTTCTTGATGCATTAGAAAGTCAATTGCTTGTTAAGCACGTATTACATGAAACTTTTGTAAATATTAAAGTCTTACTAAATTCCGAAAAGACAGTGCAATCTCTGAGTGAGCGATCTTTACTAAAAAACCTTGGATCATGGCTTGGTGGCATGACTCTTGCTCGAAATAAACCAATTAAACATAAGAACATTGCATTTAAAGTATGTCCAATAACATATATTGTATTTACGCAATTAATTACATGTTATTCATTCTTTTTTATTTGTTTTACTCCTATATAACAGGAACTTTTGATCGAAGGCTATGATAACAACAGATTGACAGTAGTAATTCCTTTCGTGTGTAAAGTCCTTGAACAAGCATGTAAAAGTAAAGTCTTTAAGCCTCCGAATCCATGGTTGATGGCTATACTGAAATTGTTGGCAGAATTATATCATAACGCTGACCTTAAACTAAATATGAAATTCGAAATTGAGGTTCTATGTAAGAGTTTAGAAATCGAGCTTAAAGACATTGAGCCGACAACTGTTCTAAAAGATAGACCTCCAAAGGAACTGGTGTCTCAGCCACCTAGGGGGAATGAATTTGATAAGTGGCCTAGAAATGATTATGGCCCTCCTATAAAACCACCACAACAATCGTCTCAGCCTCCGTCTATTCAGAATAATCCGCCTATAAATTTGAATGGTAAGTATATTTCACTTATTTTATAAAAGATATTCAGAATTATTCATATGTATATATATATTGGTCAGTAGATGAAGGTATTACAAACCTTGCTCCGTGTATCATTTTTAACCCCAACTTATCCATATTTACAAATCAACCAATGATGAGAAAAATTGTTCATTTGGCAATTGATCGAGCCATTCGTGAAGTAAGTTTATGTAATTTATTTTCTATTCTTGCTTAATGGTTAATAAACTCTGAATTGTAAACATTTCAGATAATTACACCGGTGGTGGAGCGGTCTGTTACCATAGCTGGAATATCAACTCGCGAGCTAATCATAAAGGATTTTGCATTGGAACCAAACGAAGAAAAAATGCGTAATGCCGCTCACTTGATGGTTCAAAATTTGGCTGGAAGTCTTGCCCTAGTCACTTGTAAGGAACCACTGCGAATAAGTATGGTGACACATTTAAGAAATTTATTGTTGCAGAATGGTTACAGCGAGGTATATTTGAGTTTTTTCCTTCGCTTAACGAATAGATTAAAAGCTAACACAGTTTTATAATTCAATTAATTAGCAAAATATTCCAGAACAAGCCATTTTGATAATTGTGTCTGATAATCTTGAGTTGGCGTGTTCTTTCATTGAGAAGGCTGCAATGGATAAAGCTGTTCCTGAGATTGATGAATCTCTAGCTTCCTCTTTTAGTAATCGTAAAAAGCATCGAGAGGTAATTTTTCAGAGTTTACATGATTTATTATTTATATTATCTAATCTTGAATCTCTCTGAATCTTTTTATTTTTATTTTTATTTTGTTTATTCGTTCTTGGTTTTATTTTTTTTTTTTAATTCAAATAGCGAACCGGTCAGCCATATTACGATATGACAGTATATTCAGGCATATCACGTTACATGAGCAACCTTCCTGAACCTTTAAGACTGAAGCCAAATGGATTACAACCACAACAATTACGTGTATACGAAGACTTTGCACGAATTCCACGTCTTAGTAGTCAGGCAGCTGCTATATACGGTACGAACGATGGCACTATTCACTTTTCTTATATTTTATGCTTCCGTAATTTGATAGGGTTCTTTTCATGACATTCGATAGTATTTGTATTTTTTTCACTGTTCTGCAATAGATGATCGAAATTCACGGGTTGGTATGCATCGAGGGCAGGACTTTCCGATAGGACATCCTTATAATACAGCAGAGATGCCATTTGACGGTGGTCCTCATATGCACATTCCTATTACTGCTCATCAAAGTTTAGAGAAGTTTGCTGTAAATATTTGAAATAGTTTTTTATAATTCTATTAATTTTTTTTATATACTAATGTTTTTATATTGTGTTTTTATATCTTAGTCATATCTTTGCGAGTTGGACAAATTGATTAGCAAGAATCCACAGGCTTCATGGTCATCTCTACCATTAAATAGCGATATTCGTTTATTAGTTAAAGAGATTCCTTTATTAGCTACACAATCGTTTAACTGTGACGAGACAGCACTACATTTTTCGCAAAAAGTAGTCCAACTCTTATATAAGAATGATTCTAATTTATCTCGAGAAGTTTATGTTATATTACTTGAAAGGTTATGTGAAACTTCTTATAAAGTCAAAAAAGAAGTGACTAACTGGTTGATTTATGCGGATGACGAGGTATATATATTTATTATTTATTTATTTTACTTTTTGACCTTGCTAATTATGAATGTCCTTTATTTCAGCGAAAGTTTATTGTACCTGTTGTTGTGGCTTTGATAAAGGCTGGCCTTATAAATGCAAATGATCAAGATACACAGCTTGCCAAACTCATTGAAAATGGAAGACCCACTGTGATCGACTTCACTACCAAATTAATTCGGGAGTGTGTTTTGAAAGAACCGCAGTATGCATCACGTAATGACTTTATGCATTCAATCGATGCTCTAACTAGACTTACTCAACGTGGGAAAGCACCTGAAACGTAAGATTTTTGATTAATTTAATCCTTTCACGCAATTCGAGTTAACCTAATTTTGTTGAAAACATGATAATGTAAAAATAGAGTAATTCAACTTCTTGAAGATCTACGCCCACGTACCTCTCGAGATATATTCACTAAAGACGTCGAAAATCCGGGTTTGCGTGATCAATTAACCAATTTCTTTGCGGAATGGGTGCGGGTTTATCAGCATCCAACATCAAATGAAAAGATCTACGCCACTTTTATAATGCAGGTATATTAAATAGAAATTTAAATTATTTAAATTATTTGAATATTTAATACTTTAATATTAAATAAATATTTTATTCTATGTTGTTACTACATTATTTAGTTACAACAACAAGGAGTTTTGAAGGGTGAAGAAATTTCTTCTATGTTTTTCCGCGTTTGCACTGAAATGAGTGTTGAACATTATTTGAAACAAAAGGCTGCTTCACATGCGACCCCAGCCGTTGCATATCAAGCCATTGATGCTTTTTCAAAATTAATTGTTTTATTGGTGAAATATCACTCTGATCCAGATGGTGTTAATAACAATGTTGCTAAAATCAATTATTTGACAAAGATTTTGTCAATAATTGTATTGGTGCTTGCGCAAGCACATGAGCAACGAAGACAACAGTTCAATCAAAAGCCTTTCTTTAGATTATTTTCTAGCTTATTGAATGACTTGAATTCTTATGAGCAACAGCTTCAGCCTATTTATTTCCAAATACTTACTGCATTAAGGTATTTTATTTACAGTCAAAATAATTTGGGTCCATGTTGTTGTTATTTAACCTCCTGACACAATGTATCGGTCCTGTTTACAGCAATAACACTTTTCATACATTGCAACCCCTCTTTTTCCCTGGGTTTACCTTCGCATGGCTTTCATTAATTTCCCACCGTCTTTTCATGCCCAAACTTTTGCTCGCAGAAAATCAAAAGGTAGCTTTTTTTTTTTTTTACTTAGTGCAATTTCGGGGTTGTTATAAGAAATATTTATAATGTTATTTTATATTTTATTAGGGTTGGCCCGCATTTCATAAGTTGCTTATATGTTTGTTTAGGTTTTTGGTACCATTTCTTCGTAATGTAGAAATGAGGGACACTACACGTCTACTATATAAGGGGACTCTCAGAGTTCTATTAGTGTTGTTGCACGATTTTCCAGAGTTCCTTTGTGATTATCATTTTAGCTTTTGTGATGTGATTCCATCATCTTGCATTCAATTAAGGAATCTCATTTTGAGCGCTTTTCCCCGTAACATGAGACTTCCAGACCCCTTCACACCAAATCTCAAAGTAGATTTACTACCAGAAATATCTCAATCACCCCGTGTTCTTTCAGATTATGCATCTGCTTTAGTTGCTAATAATCTCAAAAATGACATTGATAATTATCTGAAAACACGCTCACCTATTTCTTTTCCCCTGGATTTACGTAACAAATTGATGATTGATCCAAACAATCAATCTGAAATTACCTCAACTGGTTCTAAATACAATGTTTCAGTCATAAACGCACTTGTTTTGTATGTCGGAATTCAAGCAATCGGTCAACTTCATAATAAATCGGCTCAAGGAACACCACCGGTAACTCATAGTGCACCAATGGATATATTTCAGCAATTGTTAATTGATCTTGATTCAGAGGGTGTGTATGTTTCCACGTATTTAATTGACATTTTCACATATATATTAATTTTTCGGCTTAATATAGGTCGATACCTCTTTTTGAGTGCTATCGCCAACCAACTTAGATATCCCAACAGCCACACACATTACTTCAGTTGTATTTTGCTTTACCTTTTTGCTGAAGGTAGTCAGGAGGTGATTAAAGAACAAGTTACAAGGTAAATGTCTATAACTCGTTTACTTTTTATAATGACTGCCATTTAATGTTTTTAATAATATATCAAATAAATACGATAGAGTGCTTTTGGAAAGATTAATTGTAAACCGACCTCACCCATGGGGCCTTTTAATCACATTTATTGAATTGATTAAGAATCCTCGGTATAATTTCTGGAGTCATTCATTTACAAGATGTGCAACAGATATAGAACGCCTATTTGATAGCGTTAGCCGGTAATTACACTTCAATTTGTTATTATTAATGAACCAGTAATAATCTAACATATGCTTTTTGGATATTTGCAAAAAGGTCTATCAACCAAGTGTAGAATATGTATATCTTCGTTCAACATTTTAAAATCCTTCCATTCTACAACCTTAGCACAATTCACACATACATTCACAATTTGTACAGAAGCATTGTCTCTTTCCTTTTTTTTTATTTTTATTTTATTTTTTTTAGATGAGTCCAAAAATGTATCAATTAATTGTCTTGAAAATAAATCTGAATAGAACGGGATTAAAATTTCCTTTATTGATTTTATTGAAAAGTTCCTATTTTTATCGAAATGGAAAACAATAATCAAATACAGTAATAATCTATTATTATCATCATATTTGCCAATCTCGGCATTCAAATTACGTAAGGTTTCACGTTGTGTATGCTAATGTATACAAATGGATCCTATTGAACCAAAAAAAGCAACTGAATAAGTGATGCATTTTAATTCTACATTAACTCATGTGATTGAATTGAAAAAGCATTCATAAGACCATAAATTGCAACATCTGTACTCTTACTATTCATAACGACAACTACATTACTGGTTTTTTTTACATTCATTTTATTTATTTATTTATTTATTTTTATTTTTTTTTATTTTTATTTTTTTTATTTCTTCGCTTCATCCTCTATTAAGAACCATTTTTTTATATTGTATTTTCGAAATTTTGTATGTAATTACATAACTAAAGTCAGAGGTTTGTTTCTTCAAAAACCATACATTACATATACACAAATTTTTAATAACAACAGTGTCGTTGCCACGTAGAACTTCAATTTCGGGGCAAGCCCCTCGAACTCCAAACCCACCGTCTTCACCGACCACCCACTATGAACCAGGTAGCTGGCAATATCAAGTTACCGAGAACTTGATAAAAGGTCGAGGGTATGGTACGACAGCTTCAAGACCTTCAACATTAAATTTAGACGAACCAAGGACACAAAGTAGATCTACTCATTTATCTACATTAAACGATGGATCTTCACATTCTCATACACCTTCACGTTCTCATACACCTTCACGTTCTCACACACCTTCACGCTCTCATACACCTTTGACACCTTTGACACCGATTGATCCGGAAAGGTTCTTACCCGAAGTTCCTTTACCACCCTTAGAAAATATTAGAAAAGCTAAAGGCACAGGACTTTTAAATAATGTAGATTCAGAAAATAATAGAAAATCTCAGGGTTCATCAGGTTCAGGCTCAAGTGGATTACCATCATGGGCTTATAATTATTATGCTTATAATTCTTCGGATTATGATAATATTCTTCAACAAACACCACCACAAAAGCCAATAGATGATCCTGATAAAATAATTCCGCAACCTTCAACTTCTGCAGCAGCAGGTTCTGAATTACCTAATGGTGAAGATAACGAAAAACAATCAGAAAATAGAAACAAAAATGGACGGAAAGTTGAATTTAGGCCAGGGAGATATAGAATATCGCCACGACCAATGAAGCCATATCGACCAGATGTAGTTGTCATATGTCCTCGTGGATCAATATTATTTATGTTTGGATTTTTGTTTCCACCGCTATGGTGGTTTGGATCATTTTTTCCTAGATATGTTGGAACTAATGCAGATTATCGATGGAAAAAATATAATCAACTAATGTCATTTGTTTCATTTTTTTTAGTTGCCGGAATACTTGCGATTGTTATTTGGTATTTGAAATTTTACGATAGTAGTACGGATACCTATACCGATTCATCTGATTCATAATATCGTTAATATTATTTATTTATTTATTATTTACTTATTTATTTAATACAGTAGAATTTAAGGTAGAGCGTGTAATTCCTTTGTATTCTTTTAAAATTTTATCATGTACATAGTGATTCAAAAAAAAAAATGTACTTTTAGTTTTTAACACGGTAGTTAATTAAAAAAAAATATATATAAATTCTTTTTCTGAAATATTTTGCACGTGATCGCAATAGTTCGATATTACGACATTTGAATACATTTGATACATTCGATCCATTATTTGGATACTGTTTTACGATCTCTAAGGTGTAACCGTAAACAACGAATCTAGATATCGATATGCATGCGATCCGGTCTTTGTTATTTTTTAGTTTACGTCGGTTATAATAATAGCTATAAGGATCTCCGAAAATAGCTGAACCGATTAGGTAAGATTAGGTAAGATATTCTGCTCATATTATATATTAATTAATGAGGATCTATGTCAATATGGAGCTTCCTTTTTACACATTTCGGTAGATCAATGATTTTTTAATTACCAAATTTAATGAAAAAGCGAAATTGACATATTGTGATAAAGTTTACATATAATTCCTTTAAATGAATGCCTGCGATCTGAAATCTTTTCTTTTTCCGAAAGGTATCGTTTTGTTTTAAAATTTTAGGTTTAGGAAAACCAAAATCGTAACTCTTTTAGGTTTCATACTAGTATTTTCGAAACCAGTTTCGGGAAGGTTTCGTTTCGGGTCACAGGAATACTTCAATATTATAATGACTATCGATTCATTTAAGTTTGTTAATAAAGTACGCCTACTCTGCGTCCCATGGTAAACAATGCCCGAGGAAAAAAAACAAAAAAAAGCTTTTGGTCAATTGTGTACATATAATTTTTTAAAACTCGAATGAAACAAAAACAAAAAACAAATTGTTAAATATTTTTGAAACACAACATAAATACATAAATTGAAATTTGTATTAACAATAGCGGATGAAAAATTGAATCCAATAAGCTCTAAAATGTTAAAAATACAATACAATTTAGTACAATAAAATTATTTTTATAACTTTAAGTAAAAAAAGCAATACCATTAAAAATAAATATGAACTTATGTATAACACAATATTTCTTGCAGGAGTTCAAAATATTGTCAAATAAGTTAACATATTAGCCAATTTTATTATGTCTGGTAACATTGATATACTAACCAAAGATCGTTAAATCTTGGATTGTTTTATCCGAAATAAGAAAATTTTTAATTGTTTTTGGGACCTACGACCCGATTTGAACGATTTAGGCTCGTCTCATTATGATAGTTATTTTTAGTAATAAAAATTATTTATTATAAAATAAATTAGTATTAGCGTCTCTGATTGATGGCTTTCTCGCCAATAGCCTTAAAATAATAATTAATAAATAAATTAGTACATTAAAATTATTTACTATTAAAGATACATATATATATTATTAATATAATACCGTATAAGCGCGAAATAACGCGCAGGGGTGTTATTTTGAACAATGGCCCGAATTAGGCTTAATTTAGGCCAAAATCTGAAATCACACCCCTGCGCGTTATTTCGTGCTTATATAGTAGTAATTATATAGTAAAAATTAGCTAATTTGGAATACTGTATTTATATAAAATTTAAATTTATAATTTTTTAAAAATAATTTTGTTAAACTAATATATAGTAATTTGTTTTTTTGTTTTTTTTTTAATTATAAGGGTGTAGCACCCACCCACACTTAAACTTTATTTAGTACTTAAATAATTGACATTGATGGTGCTAATACATCATTAGCAAAAAAAAATATACATAAACCTCTGTAAGTTTTTATGCGAGCATAAGCTTATGAAAAACTTACGATTAGTTCGGAGTATTACATAGGGGTAATAATTATGAAAGTTTACACTATAGAATTTCAGAGTATTACGTAAGAGTAATAATTACGAACATTTACAGCTTAGTAAATTTAAATGTAGCAAAATGCAAATACACTAGTCAAAAACTAGTGAATACGTGTGTAAAATTATGAATATTTATAAATGACAAAAATTAAAAACATACAAAAATTTGCGTAAATCAATAAGATATTATGTATAACAAAACATCGAAAAGAAGCAAAATTATAAATTATAAATCAAAAAAAATAAATAATATAAAATTTTCAAAATAAATGTAATAATTTTAATGTTTTTGTAAATATACAAAAAAATTGTAATAGTTTAGTAGTTATTATTTATTTGAAAAATTGTATACAAATATATTCTAAGTAATTATATATTATTTAATTTTTTAAAGCAAATTAAAAATTCATATAACCACAAGTCAAAGAAAATCGAAGGGAAAAGAAAATAGTCGAAGATTAATGCAAAAAGCCAAAAGAAACTACTTGTTAATTGACAACTAAAAAAATAAATAAAAAATGAAAAA